CAGTATACTGGAGCATGCAGCGAGGAAATTTGAAAATTGAAGGAAACTTGTCTCGTTGTCTCTTTTCTGAGCGTGCAGATCCAAAGTCAGCTCGACCAAATGTCGCACGGTGGAGCGAGGCTTTGAAATAAGTTGGACATGAAATTTTTGACAATAATTGTAAAATTTCACATTAATCTCGTCGCAATTTTAATTTTAAGTGGGGCTTTATTTTGAAAATTTCACGAGAGAACCAATGAAACTACTTAGAAAACATCAAAATTTCATAATAATGAAGTTATACGCTTTTAAAGTTTTAAATCATGTCCGACCGGACGACTCGATCCACTGTGCGTCGAGGCAATCAGACGGGGTTCGGACTCGTGAATCTTGATCCTCAGACTCGAGATGAGCTCATGCAGTCGGGATCGAGTCCACGAGCGTGAACATCGCTAAAATGACAAATCCACCGTTGAATCTTGCGGGAACTTGGGAGGTTTTCGCCCGCCGGAGATGAGTAGTATCGAGTGCGGCTCGTTACTCACCGCGAAATGACTTCTGGGGTGCAGCACGGTCGAGGTCCGACCCCGAATCCATCGTCCGAATCCCGCACCCCCCACCCGCAACGGGGCTATCCCCTCAGTTGCTCACGTTTTCCATCTCGCCCCTCCGTTCCTGGAACAACATACGTGTTGATAGCACGCTCCGATGTCTCTGTTTTTCGTGTGTGGTATTTCTGAGTTCGTGATGTTTTTCCAAGTCGTTGGGTGCCTTCCCGATGCTGAGGTTTCAGTCATCTGGAAAATGGGGAAAATTCTGATATCGTATTGAAAACTTAATTTTTTTATTCTACAGGGTTGCCACGGTCAGGGAGTACCGGAAAAACCGGGAAATGTCAGGGAATTTTATAAAGTCGGGGAAAACCTGGGAATGTCAGGGAGAAGTGGTTGAGTCACCTTTATTTGCTTACCAGAATTGGTTTGACGTTCCGAACAACAGATTTTGCTAGGAAATATAAGGCTACAAAATATTTCGAATTACATACGTATTTTCAATCATCTTGCATATCCATAATTGTCAGGGAATTTCACTGAAATGTGTCAGGGAAATCGGGGAATTGTCAGGAAAATTAGGGAATCTCATTTTCTATGCCTTGATTTTAAGTTCTCTGAAAAACCGATTTTTCATCGGGGGAAATTTGGCAACATTTGCTATTCAAACGACGTTTTTCCTCAGCCATTCCGCGGCAGTTTACCCGTGCGTATGTGTGTACGCAAACGCGGGGAGCGGACGGGTGGAGCCGGTGACACGGAGGGAGGAATGTTAGACGGATGATGACCGGGGAGCAGGGTGATGGTGTGAATGGTGAATGGTGCGATAGCGGCCGGACCCNGGGGGGGGGGGGGTGCGCGAGGGGGCGATGGGATCGCTTCTGATGGTCGTTGCGCGGTGCCCGGTGCGGCGCGGCGCAGCGCGGGCGGCAAATTGGAATTTACAGAATTCGATGACTCTGCAACTCTATAAGCGCAGAGGCGGGGTCCGGGGGGATGCGCCGCGCTCTATAGTCCATCCTCCAGCCCGCGGATCCCCACAGGGTGCCCCCAAAGCCTCGACCCTCGGAATCAAAAGCCCCTGGCATTTTGCCCGGTGCCTCGAGGCGAATTTTTGCCCCGGATTACGGTATCTGCATGGAGCAGGGTTGTTTCAGCCAGGGGAAACCGGGAAACGTCACGGGATTTTAAAAAAGTCAGGGAAAACCTATAGAAATGTCAGGGAATGTGACGAAAATGTCAGGAAAAATCGTCAAATCACCTTCATTTGCTTTCTCGAGTGGGTTTGACGTTTCGAACAACAAATTTTGCCTAAAAACCATTTCTAATGGTTTTTAGGCAATGGCCTAAAGAAAGCAGGAAAGTAAGTGCGTTCTAGCCGTTTTTAAAGAGATAAATGTGTCACATGACGAAGGCCATTTTGAGTTTTACGTAAAGTTGTGAGCCCGGAGTAAGCCATCTATATCCACTTATGTCCTTGCCGTCAAATGCTTTTTGTACGGAGGCTCTGATATGCATATATTTTTTAACTGATTGTGAAGTGAGGAGTGAATACTAGACCTTGCTGGTGCGGTCATCGTTAAAGCTTTTGTTGTTGTCGTTTTGCTGCAACTCCTGAACCTACTGCTTGCTGATTGGCTACGTCATTTTCCCCGTTCAAAGAGCCCCTCCGCGCGTAGTTTCGGAAGAAGGTACAAACTGGATGGTGACAGAGTTGTAGACGTAATGGCGATTTTTCAATTTCCGACCTCTGAAGTAAGTTCCGACGAGGAGGAAGAGGTGTAGGGTGCGGATTTTCAAAACACCATGTACCCGGAGGCTTTCCCAATCAATCTTGGGATGGATAATTAACTTGGCGAAACAGGGTCCTCGTGGAGGAGCTTAATAAGGAGCTCTCGGAGCCCAAAGGAGGAGGTGCTGGCGAATCCAAAGAAATAAGTCAATACGTCGGGAGCCGTATGCGGAGGCAGAAAAGGGACCCGCTGAAACGTAGGAAGGGCGCAAAGGACGATAGGAGCCGCTCCGTCTTCCACATCTGGATTTTTCATAGCGGCCGTCGGCTGTCATGTCGCGGCTCCGCAAGTGGTGAAACGCCTTTTCCCGTTTGAGATAGTGCGCGGTTTTCCTCATTAACTTGGCAACTGCGCAGATATTTTATTAGATCATTTTTGAAAGGATGTATATCTAATTCGTCTTTTTCTAGAAGAAAGAACGTAACTGCATTCCAATGCTCAGGGTTGCCATGGTCAGGGAATACCGGGAAATGTCAAGGAAAATGACGAAAAAGTCAGGGGAAAATTGTTAATTTATCTCTACTAGCTTTCTAGAATGGATTTGACGTTTAGAACAACAAAGTTTGCCTGGAAGCCATTTCAAATTATGCCCTTTTTTTCCATGTGGCACATTCTCAATTGTCACCGAACTTCACTCAAATTTGTCAGGAAAATCAGTGAAATGTCTTTCTTGCGTCCAAACATTTTTTGTAATGACTTTAACGATTTGTCGCTGGCCTTTAAGAAATGGGGATTTCCGAATAAATGTTTTGAAGCTCCCATTTTGTACTTTACTGAATTCCGAAAACAAGTGATTTGCCTAACATAAGAATCCATGAAAGTCAGTTTCATGGAAATCATTCGGACTCTTACCCAGAAATGTTTATCTATTGTATACCACTCGGTTGATGGAGCATTTTCCAAATAACATGTTTCCACCTACATTTCTCTCCTACCTCCCACTTAATGAAAAGGAAATCCATGAAAATGTCAAGCCGTTACTCAGGCATAAATCAACATCTACTCTGAAGAAAAGGTCGGGCTGTTCAAAAAAGCATCAGTCGCTTTCAACGTGAAAAATTACTCGCCATTCCGATCGCACACTTCTGCCCTAGGACCACTCGAGTTAATCGAAACGAAACGCGTAAAGAGAAAATATTATCTAAACTAGCTCTCGTCCTGCCTCTAGTACTGTGACATGCTCAGGAATCAGAGTGCGGTTTCAAGCAGATACCTTCAAAAGCCGTTTCAAATCAGCAGTGCTCCTCGGCGGGGGAAAAAAAGTTATCTCGTGTCACTCTATCGCCTACTTGTTTTTTTGCCGGCGCTGTGTTGTGTAAAATAGTCCCATCATCATTAACATTTTTTCACCCTTTGTCCGATACGCTCTGATTCGAGGAGGTTGAGAAATGGCCGAGAGCAAGCGGACACGTCTTCTCTCTCGTTTTGGGAGTTTGCCAAAACGAAAGGCCGGGCGACGGCGCCGGGTCCTCCGGGGACCGTCGGACCCGGAGGTAGGATCGACGCGCGACGGTGGTCGATTCGGCGGCGTCGGTCGCGTATCGAAACGCGACGAGTGGCCAAAAAAATATCGCGACAAGTGACTTCAAAATCGAGTGAATATCTCAAGAGGTCGCCGCGGGAAAATTCGAGGACGGTGTGCCTCGCTGGCGCCACCACCGCTTATTTATCGCTCGGCTTTCTTTCGCTCCTCACAGTGGATCGAGTCAATAGGAGAGGTCGGACAAAATGCGGAAACTTCAAACGCTCATAACTCCGTTTCTACAAAATTTAAAGGTTATATAGGTAGTTCCATCGGTTCGCTCGTGAAATTTCCTTCCAGAAGCACCCCTTGACATTTAAAATGTGACAAAATAAACATAAAAATTTGTGGTTTTAGTCAAAAATTTTATGTCCGACCGCTCTGATCGACTCGGTCCACTGTGCGGCCCGCAAAGTGCAGTGCAATGAGAGAAAGACGCGGTCGGCCTACAATTCAGGCCAAAATGAGTCAGAGCACTTAAAAGAAATTAAAGAAGCTGTCCTATTAAGGGCCAGTTTCTGCTCCGCCTCACCCCTCGAGGGCTCGAAACCCAAGTTGGCTCTGCCTTGTCCATCAACGTTTAACCTCCAGCCGTTACCACAAACCTTCGGCTCCTCTCTGCTCTATTTTTATTATTTTTTTACAGCACGCAAAAAATAAATACAAAATAATAATTTGTAAGATGAAAAAAACTTTATACGGAATAAATAATTTTTAAAAGTCTGTGGACTGTCACGCTGTTAGAGATATGGGAGTAGAATTTGTATTGCATTTCACTCCGAAGTCTATTTTACACCTTAACAACCCGAGTGATATGAATTCAGCGCGAAATGTTACCTCTCTTTAGATTGAGGATTTCAGGACTTCTTTGTATCACTCGGGTTCTCGGAGGGTAAAAGAGCCTCCGGGGGTGACGTGCACTCTTGAAAAATAGTGCTGGTCTATTGGAAGATCGACGAAAGTTCAAAAAGTCATCCACGCACGTTCTTCCAGTTCTTTTTTCGTCGCACCTCTGTGCCGTAGTCGTTGCTATACTCTATATTGCTGTTTATGCTAGATTGATAAAGTGTTAACTGTTATTTTTGCTGAACCATCGAACTATTACTGCGATGTGAGGTATTTCTCTAACGATTTGAATTTGTTTTCTGTTCTCAGGCTCTTACAGTTCCATGCACTACACCATCTACTCGGGTGACCCGGACGGATACTTCTCCATCGAACCCAATTCGGGCGCCATCCGTACCGCTGCTTTCCTGGACCATGAAGTCAGAGCCTCCGTCCTTCTCAACGTCCAAGCTGTTAGCGGATCGCCCCCTGCATTTGCGCACACTCAGGTACGATCTATTTCCAGCACCTCGTCCCTGGATGGACGTAAAACATGCAACGATCATGACCAATGTAGAGTTCAGGTTAATATTCTGAAAACGCGCAGCGCTAAGAGCATGTCCTCTGACCGCACAGCGATATCATCTTTTTTGCGGTGCATTTCTCTATGAAATCAAGTTTTAATTCTCTGCAGGGGGATCAGTCAAAAAAACAAACAAAAAAAAAAAAAATGACCAGGAGGTAGTGAAAGTTTAAAATTTTAAGAAAAAAAGAGGTTCTAACCCCAGCCTGTCTGACTCAGGTCTTGAAGACACGAGGCTTGCTATGATTGAATAAATCAAGCAATAGGGCACTCTCACGGGCAGTTTTGAAGAGAACACACGAACTCTGACATGTTGAATGGGGGCGCTCTAAAAGCGGAACAGGGAGAAGGGGAGATCCGATGAAGAAGAGGGTCAAAAGGCTGGAAAATAAGTGGAGGAAGAAGTGAAAGACATAGACATTACTGTTATTCCTCTCCCTCTGCTTCCCCCTCTTCATTCCTCCCTTCCTCTTCATATTGCTGGTGCTTCTCATTTCTCTCCTCCTCCTTCCGATTTCTATAGCGTCTTCATCTGACATATTTCTAAATTCTAATGACTAGAGTCCATCGGACGAAGGATACATTCCTTGGTTGGTCCGTAAGTCATCTCGCTAATCCTTCAAGAGGTCCATGGGCAAATATGCTCAGGAATCGCTGTTCCAGAACAAGATGTTGATGGTCGGGTCCAGAGACAAGAGACCCTCCACTCGTATCTCTGCTATGGTGAAAGCTTTTACTTTCGGGACTTCAACATTAAACTTACCGAACTGTTGACTACTTCGGGACGGTTGACTTACCTACATGGTCGATGTTCACAACGTGTTGGCACTTTCGCTTTGCAAACAAGCCAAAGTTTGGGAAACTTGTTTGACTCATGATGTCACCCGAATGCTCATCATCCACTATGTAGGTAAGTCAACAGCCGAAAAATAGCAATGACTGTTGCTCCCTTATAATTTCCCATGAGGAATTGTTGAATCTCCGAAAGTAAAAGCTTTCACCTGTCGCCCAGAGGTCAGCGGAGGGTCTCTTTTCTCTGTTCGAAAGTCATCCCGCTAATCCTCCAAGAGGTCCAAGGGCGAAATAGCTCAAGATTCGCTGTTCCAGAACAAGAAGTTGACGGTCGGGTCCAAGAACCTCGTCAAAGGAGCGATAGCGCTACTTGACGGGGGCGCCCTTCATCGGGAGTCCTGGTAAGCTATGAGATTTGCTCTACACGGAGAAAAAAACTTGTTGCGTGGGACCCGAAGTTGAGGTCATACGGATCTCTGAAATTTTCGGATCACGTATTTAAAAATTTGAGGTCCAGCCTCCAGCTGCCGAAGTTCGGGTCAGACATCTGAAGTACTTCGATATATACCGAAGGGTTCGGGTCAGACATCTGAAGAACTCCGGTGCATACCGAAGTGTCTCGATGTCCGACCCGAACTTCAGCAGCTCGACCTCAAGTTTTCGGATGCGTGATCAGAAAACTTGAGAGATCCGTATGACCTCAACTTAGGGTACCATGCACGAAGTTTTTTGCTCCGGGTCAAGGGAGCGATAGCGCATCATATCAAGTAGCGCACTTCAGATGTGTGACCCGAACCCTTCAGTATAAGGCTGCACGACACTTGCGCACACTTTTCGTACCGATAACGGTTGCGCACAAAATTCCGAATTTTCATTTGCGCACAGTTTTACCGATAACGTTTGCGCACACTGCACTATGTGGCAACGCTGCACCTACGCAACGCGAATCACCCGGACACCGGGCCCGGGTTTGTTATTGTCGGCGAGGTGCATTATCGTGTTGTGATAAGGAAGGTCCACGACAAAAGGAGGAAGAGGTGTGTCTGGAAAGGAGTAACTCAGTAACCTGCGGACCGTTGCTGTCAACACAGTGCCGAATTTTAAATTGTTTTAATGTGCAACTTTTTAACGTGTTTTAGCTCGAGTTTTAAACAGTTTTAATGATAATAATCGTTTTTAATAATCGTGAGTTGTTTGACAGCATATTTTAAACCGTTTTTATTCCTTTATTCGCAAGTGTGTGTGAGTGTATTTCAGTTAAAATTTAATAAAATGAGTTCTGATACGGGCTTTCAGATAATGAGAAGCAATAAAGGCAAACCAATGATACTAGTCGAAGGCTATAAATTCCGACAATTTCGCGTTAAAAAAAAAAATATACATTGGCGGTGTTCGAAAAAAGAGTGCCGGGCTACGATCAAAACAGATGTACCGATGACTACTTTGCTTGAAACGACCAACAAGGAACACAGACCGCAACATGCTCCACCAAGTGATAAAGAAATCGAGCTGCAGCTTATAAGAACCAGTCTGAAGAGAAAAGCAACCCTCATCTGTGGGCCAGCCCTCTTACACAAGATTCTTGCACAACGACTAATGGGGTTGAGGGCTTCAATAGTAAACTTCAAGGCGAGTTTTATTACCACCATCCAAGTGTGTACGAAGCAACTGACCAAGTTTTTAAGGCCCAGACTATTGTTTCTTTAAAAATAAAATCCGTACGGAATGGCGAGTTGTTCAATAAACGCAAGGCTCAACAAACGAAAGATGATGAAGTTATTGTGCTGACCAGTGCTTTTCAAAGTAAAGACCTCGATATAATGGAGTTCCTTGAAATGATCCGTGATGTGAAATATGCGAAGCAAGATGCATCAGACTCAAAAAATGACTCGGGAGCTGAAAATGACTCCTTCAATGAAGACGATCTGGACGAAGAAATTTCCTTTCATGAACCACCCACCAGCCATCCTGAGAATACTATTGGCTCCAGTTCAGACGACTCTGACGATGGCATTTTCTTCCGGCGAAAGTAAAACCAAAAATCTGTAAGTATAGCCAATACTATTTATTCAATTAATTTAACTATTTTTTACATAATTCATGTGGAAATAAGCACCTCACACACACTCTCAAACTCACTCACTTCTGTTTCATCACTCGTTTACTCGCCCCCTCTGTTCGGTTTTAAACAATGCGTGCGTATAAATATGCTCCGTATAATGCAGCGTTGCCACATAGTGCAGTGTGCGCAAACGTTATCGGTAAAACTGTGCGCAAATGAAAATTCGGAATTTTGTGCGCAAACGTTATCGGTACGAAAAGTGTGCGCAAACGTCGTGCACCGCAGTATAAATCGAAGTACTTCAGATGTCTCACCCGAACCTCGGCTGCTGGAGGCTGGACCTCAAGGTTTTAGATACCTTCTTTTTTCTTAGAACTCCTCGGGAGTCGTGGTAAGTTATGAGACGTGCTCTAAGGGTTGTTTGGGGTGTGTTGCAGGTGAACATCGTGATCGAGGACAAGAACGACAACACGCCGGAGTTCGACTCGGCGACGGTGCGGATCTCGGTGCCGGAGAACGTGGGCGTGGGCTCGCCGCTGTACGCGGCGCACGCCAAGGACAAGGACTCGGGCAGCAACGGCCTGGTCCGCTACCGGCTTCTGTCGTCGGCGTCGGTGGACTCGCGGCTCTTCGCCATCGACCCGACGACCGGGCACGTCACCCTCACCCGCGCCCTCGACTACGAGACCGCCCAGCGGCACACGCTCCTCATCTCGGCCACGGACGCCGGCGACCCACCCCTCTCGGCCAACCTCACCGTCCTCCTCGAGGTCCAGGACGTCAACGACAACCCGCCCGTCTTCGAGAGGTCCGAGTACTCCGTCACGGTTCCCGAGTCTGCCGAACCCGAGTCACAGGTACGTACTCCTCTTCACTTCTTCTTAGCTTACTCCAGAGGATACCGTGTGCCTCCCCGGCTCTGGGCTGATTGTCCAATTTGATAGACAAAGGTAAAGACCAAGAAGACCATTGGCGGATCCAGCAAATTGGCAACATTGTCTTCTCTCCATTTAAACCAATGAAAATGTATCGATTCTTGGAGGGGCCAGGTGCTCCGACAAGAATCGATTATTTAACATAGGTTTAAATGGTGGGACTCCGATGTTGCCAAATTGCTGGATCCGCCACTGAGGAAGACATGAGGAGTATGGAGCTATTGGTTGAAATGGGTGGTTCCTGTAGACTAAAAGGAGAAAATTATGGACTGTATAACTATAGGGTCCCTCGTGGGTTGCCATTAGTTAGTCTATTACCTCCCTTGTCCATCGCAACCACCCGCTTCCACCAATAGGATTCCTCTACATGTCTTTTGTCTTCTTCGTCTACAGCTTTGCCTATCAATTTCAATAATCAGCCCGCTGGTGCGGTCATCGTTACTTTTGAGCCATTTTCTATTCAAATCGTGTGCCTGCCCGGCTGTCAGCTGATCGTTGAATTTGATAGACAACGGTACAGACGAAGAAGACGTAAGGAGTGTAGAGCTATTGGTTAAAATGGGTGGTTCCAGTAGACTGCAGGAGAAAATGATGGACTATGTAAAGGGTCCCTCGTGGGTTACCGATAGTTAGTCTATTGCTTACTTCCTTTTTCCATTGCAACCACCTGCTTCCACCTATAGGATGCCTTCATATCCCTTTTGTCTTTTGTCCATGTCTTTGTCTATCGATTTCAACAATCAGCCCGCTGGTCAACCGAACCGAGACCAATTCACACGGGTCATTTTCCGTGGACGAGTTTAAAGGCCCTTCCGTGCATTGGCATTTCTTATGGATGGAGCCAATTCTACGTCATGCCGATTGTGGTCGAATGATGGTCGGGCAGAGAAGCTGCATAGTTGACAAACCCGTGTGAATTGGTCTTGACTCGAACCAGCGACAGTTTGGATGGCACAAGATTTCTTTTACGTTGTACCCATATAATGGCACAATTTAACAAACTTAGATGTCCATGCTGCTGAAATTGCATAACTATTGAGATGAAGGAGCTGTTCAACTCAAGCGCACCAGCGCCATCAGTTAAATTTAATTTCTACGTCATTATTGTTCAAAATAAGTTAGTTCGCATCTATACATGTCGAAAGAATTTGAGTGGGAAAAGTGTTGATGGAGATCTCTCTACATGCATTAATATTCGAAAATAAAACTATTACCGTCGATCAGTGTGTGCCTCCCAGTATGAGCCGTAATCTATACGTCATGGGTAGTAGCTTTTGGTGCATTACGACGAATCACGGAAGAGCTGTACTGGCTAATTACTGTGCATAGTTCTTTTTATCATTTATAGGAAGGTTCGAACATTCTCTGCTTTTGGTTATTTTTTGTTTTGTCTTGCAATATCATCGATTATATTTCAATCCCTTCACGCATCAGAGGAGCAACTCTTTCATCCCAAAGTGAAACCCAGAGGCGGATCCAGCAATTTGGCAACACCGGATTTCCTCCATTCAAACCTATGCTAAATAATCGATTCTTATCGGAGCTCCTGGCTCCCGATAATCGATACATTTCCATAGGTTTAAATGGAGGAAATCCGGTGTTGCCAAACTGCTGGATCCGCCAATGGTGAAACCGGCGGGTTGAAAGTAAACGTAAATCCATATCTGTGAGTACGCGGTCAGCAAGAATTCGAGTGATTTCGGGATGCCAGCCTAATTCTGCCAGTCATCTCGAATTCATGAAACCTTCTCGTAAACAAAGGCATCATTCAAGGCTTTGTAAAAATTAAAAGCTCCGGCCAGTTTCCCTCCGTTAGAAAGTGGCGTTTTCTCCGAGATGGATCCTACGCTTTCGTTCGAGTCCCAAGCCTGCCTTGCTGAGGCAGAACACCGTATGGACATTCTTACTTTGCCAAATTTCCTCTACAAAAGTATTTATTCTCGAGGAATGTTTTCAACAGTTGTCCTTAAAATCGTTTGGTTGATCAGCATAAACAGAGAAAAATATTCACCGAAAAGTTCAAAGAAAAATGAGGAAATTTTTCCTGGGTAATCGGTGTTTTGTTATAAACAAATTGGCAGCGCGTGAAGGTTCATACGGCGTTTTTCTTTAAGAGGCACTCGACCAGGTCACTTAGCACGTATCCCCGATGGGCGACGCACAGTGGATCGAGTCAATAGGAGAGGTCGGACAAAATTCGGAAACTTTAAACGCTTATAACTCCGTTGATACGAAACTTTGAGGTTCTGAAAGTGGTTCCATTGGTTTTCTTGTGAAATTTTCCTCTCGAAGCATCCATTCAACTTTAAAATGTGACGAAATAAACATCAATTTGCAGTTTAAGTAAACAATTTCCAATACCGAAATCTCTCCAATACCGAAACCCTCAACATTCCAGCCCCCTACCCCCCCCCCTCCAGCCGAAGATATACCTTCTGGTAATTCCGGCGTGTCTCGGGAAGTCATCTCATAATTAATTACTTTACTTGCGCACTTATTCTACTTCATTTATTAATTAACTATTTGCATTTTCCAATCTGCTATTTACTATAATACTATACCATATACTTAAGTCATATCTCCACTTAACATCTATTACTATAGTTATTACCATGTTGTTAAATACTTTCTGTTATCAATTTTTACTATACCATATACTTAAGTCATATCTCCACTTAACATCTATTACTATAGTTATTACCATGTTGTTAAATACTTTCTGTTATCAATTTTGTTTAAATAAATTACTTATCTTGACGAAAAAAAGAAAAAAAAAAAAAAAAAATTCATGTCCGACCTCTCTGATTGACTCGATCCACCGTGCGACGACTCATAAACACGGTCCATTGTCTCCGGAGCATGAGCACCTTGTGTGCACAGCCATTCTCCCTCGAACAAACGCGCGTTCTGACTTTTATTGAGCATTCAGCGCATGCGCATATCGACGTCGCGTCGCACTCCCATCGGATATTATTTATACTCCTGAGTCACTCGAGGGAGCTTATGGGCCGAACAACGGCGTTTTTGCTTTCAGAACTTGAAACTGTCCGGAGAGGAGAAAATAAACCATAAAAAATATTTGGACAACTTTCGAGCTCTCGTGGTTGGTTTGACTCACAATCAGCTCTAACTTCTACATGAATGTATTTTATTTTACGAGTCGCTCGAGGCACCTGAGAACGAGCGAATTTCAGCTTGAGCCTTTTCCTTAGTCATGAAAACTTTTACTTTTGGGGATTATTACTTAAGAGCATGCTACCTCCTTCTTGGCTGGTCAGCTTTGGGTTAAGCAGAGCGGCCATCGACCATTTGACCAAATAATCGTCTTTTTTATTAAAGAAGCTACTATTCATTTTGCTCAGCAGCCAACAAGAGGGGAATTTTAAGGATTGAGTGGGAGCCCTAAAAGTACCCATTCACCTGTTACCTTGAGGCTAATGGAAGGTTTGTGTGCGGTTCTCCCCCACGTAGAAAAAGTAAAAGGTGGTGGCAATTTTGGTATTTTAGAAGGAGTTTAATGAAACGTGTGGATAGAAACTATTTTGCACTCAATTTTTTTAAAAATGTTGTGGTCTGTAGAAAAGATTTATTTTTGAAAATTGTCCATAATTATATTCTATTTTAAAAAACGCGAATAAGAGGAATGAATGGCTCGTTGGTCCATGCTCAGGATTTTTGATATTGACACCTTCATTGTACCCTCTAACGTAAAGTGTCGCAAAATGCCACTACCCCCCTTTCTGTGGTTCTACACTTGCTATTAATACACAAAGTAACTTCAAAAAAATAGCCCCCCNCCTGAACGAAGAAAAAACTTCGCACTTGAGACCCGAAGCTCTGATCCAATGAAGTTCTTGGATCCTGGATCTGGAGTAAGAGGTCTAGTTGCCGAAGTTCGTGTCACACATCTGAAGCAATTCGGATAAAACTTCCATGGAGTCATCGGAAGTACTTAAGATGTGTGACCCGAACTTCGGTTCGAACTCAAGTTTTTATGGATCCACGATCCAGATCCAGATCCAGATCCTTGGAGATCCATACGACTTGAACTTCGAGTCCCAAGCAATAAGTTTTTTCCTCACACTGAAAAAAAATTCTCGGCGTTTTTACCACGGTCCGTTGGTACCTTTACCATCTCATTTTTTTACCAATTATTGGTAATTTTACCAAGACAGACTAGTGCTTACCTAAAAACTGGTACTTTTACTGTTTTTTCAGGTAAGAATACCACTTTTATCGGTAATCAATTCCCGGTTACTTTGCCATTTTATCTCGGTAATTCTACCACAGTCGATAAAAAATATTGGAGCGTTTTTGCCAAGGTCCAGTAAAATTACCGAGAAAGTTCAATAATTTAATCGAGATTTCTCGGTAAAATTACCAATTCCATAAATGGTAATTTTACTGAGATACAATTGGAATCAAATAGAACCCTGAATTCTTGGTAATTTTACTCTTTTCTTAGTAAATACACCGAGATTTTTTTTTCAGTGCATGCGATATAGGCAAGACACAGTGAAAGCGCCGTCGAGGTGGACACGGCAACCATCGGCCCCGAACAAGTCCCAGGACGGTGCTGCCGTGCTAAGGAAAAACACCATATGGGCATTCGAGAGTTGCCAAATTTCCCTCGATAAAACCTGTATTTTTGACGACATTCGAGCATATTTTTCCTTGAAATTTTCGAGTATTTTAGATTAAATTGCGCACTAAAGTGCCTGAAACTTTTGAAAAATAATATTCGCAATTTTCCCAGTAAATTCGATTTTTATCGGAAGAAACTTGGCAACGTCTGAAGGTCCATACGGTGTTTTTCCTTGACACGACAGCGTGGATCGGGGACCTTTGGCGGCGCGGCGCGAAGCGGAGAGAGGGGTGCGGTGCCCGGGAACCCGCTGTGCGAGCTAATGGTCCCAAAATGT